TTGAGAGAAGTGTAAAACTTTTCCATTCTAACCACAAAATTATAGATTACAAACACACACAAATAAATTTATTCAAACAATACAGTCCACCAATTTGTATTAATTTAATCTTATCTTATCCACATAAACAAACGAGGGCTTAGAGTTCGAATCGTCCATGAGTTAAGCCCGAAAAATTGAGTAGGTTATACTTGACAAATATATAATCTAGGCAATAGGCAATATTGAAATCTTTAATTTGGGCTTTGTCATCATCTTTCCTTTGGGCTTATGTTCGCAAAGGAAGAGTCGGCCTATTGGTCCGAAGTTGGCAAACTTTTTTGTATTTTGGTTTGTGGTGAATATTATCTATACATTTATCAATTTACATTCAAGTGGATAAGAAATGATATAAAACCATTTGCAAAGCAAAAGTATATGACCGACCAAATATTGTTAAATGATTTAAATTGGAGCCATTGTTTTTTATATTCACTAATAACATTATTAAGAAAAATAGGAGAAATATTGCACAGACAACCAAAAAAATCAAACGCAACCAAAAAAAAACATTGACAAAAATAAAATTTAAAACTCAGAAAGATTACAAACTCATGTTAGAACATTTCCAATAGTCATGTGAATTTTAATCTAAGTTGGACTATAAATATCGAATTGTGAGTCTTATATGGCACAAAAATTAAACCAAATGAAACAAGAAGAAAAAATCAAGAAAACAAATGTTATTTTAAATTTATCTCCTAGTTTTGATATATAATTTAAACTTCAAAACCAACGCACCCAATCAAATTTGAACGGAATACCATTTAACCATGGTAGCAACATTCCTATCTTACCAAAGATTGTTAAAATTTGAACCGAATAACACTTAGCCATGGTAGCAACATTTCCTATCCTACCAAAGATTCTTTTAAAAATAAGTTATGAGTAAAATGAATAGAGCTTGACATATAAAATAATTCACCTATGAGAATACTATTTTATTTGTAGAAAATTTGCAGAGTTGTTAAATGAAACGAGCCGTACGAAAGCTCGATTAGGCTCGTTTGATAAACTAGAAGACTTCATACTAATTGAAAGCTCGTTCAGTAACGAATCGGACTTGATTCGACTCGTTGATTCCTGAAAATAAGAATTTTATATAATTTGTAAACTAGTGTCCGTTTCGTTTAAGTCTAAAAATGAATAGGGTTATCAACTATTTTCTATCTCTGTTAGTTAGTGTTAAGTCTAAAAAATAATAGAGTTATAATCCGTGTTCCACCTCTTTTAACCAGCGTTGTTTTTTAGCAAAATATTAATTATGAGCACGTTAGGGGTAACTTGTAATACTAACACCTTTATACTAATATTATTCTTAATAAAATATTAAACACGTGCATTTTTTTAGGAAATGAATAACAAACTTGCTTAAGCACACGTTTTCTTTTTATACAGTTATTAAAATACTAACTATTAACATTTCTAATATACTATTATATAATTTGTTCGATTCTACATTTAAATTACAAAAGAGATTTTATATTTTATATTGACATTACATAATCAAAATAATTTAGAAGAGTACTCCGTGTGTATAAAGTGTTAGTACTTATCCAAATACCCGGTTTTTTAAAATTTTATGAATATTTAACCAATTTAGTTAATTTATTATTACAATAATAATATTTTTTATTTTTAGCAATATAATATCCACCTACCCGGTTTACTAATGCAAGAATGAATAAAAAATTTAAATAGCAATAGTCAATCAAAATAATAATAAAATTCGGGTGTGGATTTATATCGAGTAGTTATATTTTTTTTCTTTATACACATTTTTTTGTATTTACTTCATAGGTACATGAATACGAATGTATGAAGATGTAATTAATTGAGTTAATTACTAAAGCAAGGATGAATAAAGAATGTGAATAAATTAAGTGAATAGCAAATATGGAACAACAACAAAATATTAACAAAAATAAATAACTCATTTTATTCAATCATCTTAATTTCTTAAACCATCAAATCTAATATTTAAATAAAACTATTAATCCATGGAAAAAAAAAATTACAAAGAACATGAACAATATTTGTTTATATTATGAAAATCAAATATCTTTGTCGTGCCGTACTCAGATCTTTTGCAGATTCCAAAGCCGGGTCATTAGAATGAGGTGCTTGTTTCTAATCTGATTTGAGTGCGTTCATGCAAGATCAATCTGAATTTAGCGGTGGTCGAGTTATATATACCAAGGTTACTATCCAATTCATAATTACGAATAAAATAGATACGGTCTTCCTCCAGTTCTTCCCTTATCTTTTGAATATTAACATTGCGTACCAAACCGACGATGTGTGCGCCCTACAAATACAAAAAAATAACGATTAAACAAAATATTTTTGTATGTAGTTCAAATCGTAATAAATAAAATTAAATAGAAAAAATACCTCCCTATCTTGAAAGAGGATCTTCAAGATGTTGTGTTGAAGATTTGAAGACTCGCGCTCAAACATACGAACCACAAGAAGTTTTAACGGGCATCATTTGTTTCTTTCAACATCATTAATGATACCAATGTTATCAAAACAAGACGGTCATCGAACAGGTGAAGCTACTGGTTCAATGGTTCACTGGTCGGACCAGTGGTCGAACCGGTTTAACGAATATACAATTTATTTATTTATTTTATATGTATAATATATAATTGTATATATATATATATATATATATATATATATATATATATTTATCATTAATTTTATAGCATATAATGATATTTTTCTAAATAAGAGTTGATGAATCAATATTTTAAGTATAGTTTACCATAAGCAATACTAAATTAAGTTCACTAAAACAATAGATTAATAATTCAGTATTTATTATCGAAAGCAAGGCAATCCAAATTACAAATACAAACTACAAAGTCATCAAATATCAAAATATATCCAATCCAACATTACAATNTTAAAAATAAAAAAATGTATCTTTTGGTTAATTAGTTCCACAAAGATAGTTATTCTAAATCACGTGCCAATAAACATGGCACTAGGAGATTTTGTTGATCCGAATCTCTAAATTTTAAATTGTTTAATTAATAATATATATTCCTTCGTAATAGGAGATTTTGTTGATGTATACTATCTAAAAAAATATCTTATCACATATTTGAATTTTTTTCAAAAATATCTTCTCCACAATGCTCGCATATTTTTTTGGCGTTCTCCACAATACAACAATTTATTTGAACCTCCTGTCCGTTCAAATTCAAAAAAAAAAAGTTTCCATCAAAGGAAAGCAATAAATGCAGAATGAGTGTTGATCATAAATTGACTTGTCATTTTTTATAAACTAGTACGTAGCCCGTGCGATGCACGGGACATAAGTATTAAATGAGTCATTTTCACAAAGCTTGTCCGTTAAACAGCTCGTGCGATTCACGGGAGATATTAAATGAGTGGACCATAGGGCTTGTCCGTTCAGGCCTAAAAAATAATAGAGTTTGATCATCTATCTTTTTACATCTTTTCATCAACGTCATTTTTTTTGTCGGAACATTAAACCTGAGTCTGCTAGCGCAAGCCCGTAAATTAATTAATATATTATCTCGCTCACATGTTTATAATAATATAAATTTGATTTCATTATATATATATGTATATTTATTCCTTGATATAAGAAAAATAACAATATTACGTAATCTTGTTCCTCGTATAATACTCATATTATTTTGATATAAAATTTATTGTAATATAATTTCATTATTATTATTTATGCAAGTTATATATGTAGTCTTCTTCTTCTTTTTTTTTTAAATAATTAAAATATTTAATGTATGTTCATATTATTTATTAATGTAATTAATTTAAATTATGTAAATAAATTTAAAGTAAAACATTTTGTACAAACATTTTACAAAATATACACAAATATTTTTTTAGAATTTATTTTTTTTTATAATAAATAAACATCTTTGAAATTCTATGCAATTATTAAACATCCTTGATATAAATTCGAAATCATAATTGAATTCTATGCAATTATTAATTATGTCCGATGTTATGAACAAATCATTCGGAAATGATTATATGTAAGTTGAGATTAAATGAAATGTATCAAAAAAATCTTCTTATGATATTTCCTTTAAATGTATGAATGAATTTGAAATTCAAATTACAAATCAACCTCCAGTTATTCAAATAATTTTAAAAAAGTTACCAATTGTAGTAAAATGTACGTGACAATATATTATAAATATACATGACGTCAGTAATGTTGTTATGAATCTTAAGTTCCTAAAATATATATTGTTCATATATGAAACTAATTAACTTATATGTTAAGAAAATATGTATAAATATATGTATTGTACGAAATATACACGTGACAAGTTATTATATTTGTTTATATATTGTTTGTATTGTTTATTATATTTGTATATAAATATATTGTTTATATATTTTTCTGTATTGTACGACAAATTATTATATTTGCTTATATATTGTTTAAATATATATTGTTTAAATATGAAACTAATTAACCTATATGTTAAGATAATATATATAAATATATGTATTGTATGAAATCTTTAACGTGTTTGTTAAATTTTTCCCTTAAAAATTTCAAAATACATTTAGGCATTTTTGTTTGAAGTTTGAAATTTAAATATGCATCTATATAACAAATCCCATGATTTATGCTAGCATTAAATGCTACTTGATTTTTTATTAAAAAATTAAAAAAACATACCAAAAATGGAATTCAATTAATGTTCCCTATTTTTTTGCTTACTATTTTTGAAAAATATTAATTTTTATTATATATATAGATTGTAAATCTTATTATATATATTGTAAATTATAAGACTTAATTTTCACTTATTAATATTGATGATCGAACCGAAATCGAGCCCAACGGAAATAAATTGCATATTTTTCACATCTTTGTATTGTGGAAAGTGGAAACACTCGGGTCTTAGAGCACACCTTCTTGGAAAATTAGATAAAATGTGAAAAGGCTTGAGCCAAGTTAGTCAAACACATTGACCCGAGAGCCCACCATATTGACCCGTTGACCAAAGTCAAAATTGAATCACTCCCATCTTCTTCACCAATCAATCACCAGCACTGTGAGCGAATCTTTTCTACATTCTGAATTCTGAAAGCTCCATCTCACCCAACTCTCGGCAAAGTCCACACCAATCACACTCAAAATACCGTACAATTATTTTAACGCTAGTGGCCAAGCACAATGTTTGAAATTCACACTGAGTTCAAGCTCGAGGAGCCTTCCCATGAAAACGAAGTGTAGAATTGAATAATGCCGCGAGTCAACCCAACCCAAGTAGGATTTAAGCATTTATAGTGCTCTGAGATCTCAAGCTGCTCACAACTACTCTTCTCCTTCAAATTGTTGGTGCGGTTTTGTTTTTCGATTTGGAGTTCGATTGAGCGGAGACCTAATTGGGGAAGGAAATGGATGAGTTTTTTTACAGTCCGAGCAAGAAATCGAGGCGCGATGAGGAGGAGAAGGGGAGCGGGAAGATCAGAGGATCTGTGGTCGTGATGAAGAAGAACCTGCTCCAGCTCAATGACGTGGCGGCGTCGGTCGTCGATCGGTTTGATGAGATCCTGGGAAGAAAGGTGGCGCTGCAGCTCATCACCACCGCCGCCTCCGCCTCCGCCGGTATGTGTTGTGTGTGTGTGTTCGTGCCCTGTGATATGGAGATTAGTTAATTTTCTGCTGACCTGAGGACATTTGAGCCGTTGGATCATTGAAATGAAAAAGTGAAAATCCGTTTGGATTTTAGATGCGTTGAAATTGAAAAGTAGCTGAGGTTGTTGAGATTTCACATGAAGAATTGGTAAATAATTGCAGAGGACTTTTTTCGTGAAGGGATTTGTTTAAAAATATCTGTGCAGTTGACTTCAGAATCCCCTTTGTATGCGCATAATAATACTCCTCCATAAATTAGCCTACTTTTCGTTCTTTGTGTTAGAAACCTGTAAAATAATCCCATGAGACCCATTTCAAGATTCTACTTAATTTTCATGCGGATTTTTTAATGTGAATGCTGAAAGTCTTTATGCACATGACAAATAATATGCCCCCCTTCTCGTTTTTTTTTTCGCCCGAGCAGAAGATGGCTACAGAGGAAAACCCGGCAAGAAAGCGTACTTAGAAGACTGGGTCACGAAAGCCCCCTCTCTGGCAGCTGGGCCCACCACCTACAACGTCACGTTCGAGTGGGCCGAGGACTCAGGCTTTCCCGGTGCCTTCACGATAGCAAACTTTCACCATAACGAATTCTATCTCAAGTCTCTCACCCTCGAGGAAGTCCCTGGCCATGGCCGAGTCCATTTCGTGTGCAATTCTTGGGTCTACCCAGCCGAACACTACAAGAGGGACCGAATCTTTTTCGCTAATCAGGTAATGCTCGATTCTTGAATGTCGTGATTGATAAATTGTTAAATGTAATGTAAGCTTGTGTCGTGCAGGCATATCTTCCCAGTCAAACTCCGGCTGCTCTGCGTGCTTACAGAGAAGAAGAACTTGAGAATCTGAGAGGCAATGGGACCGGAAAACGTGAGGAGTGGGATCGAGTGTACGATTATGATATCTACAATGATTTGGGCGACCCGGATAGAGGCCCGGAGCATGTTCGGCCGACTCTTGGCGGTTCAGTCGAGCATCCGTATCCTCGTAGGGGAAGAACCGGACGGCCTCCAGCTTCATCAGGTAATGTAGTTCAAAAAAAAAAGGAAAAAAAGAATCATATTTTTGTAGAATTTGTATCTATGGGATTCTAAAGGCAAAAATGCATTTTTAGTCATGTTGGTTGAACGTCATATCAATTTTAGTCCCAAGGTTTCAACTTTTCGCCTTTTGGTTCTATGATTTAATTTGCAATAAAATTTTAAATTACAAGACTGAAATTGCAAATAAAATTTTAAGTCAAAGGACTTAAGTTGCTAATAAAAAATTCATTACAAAGATATAAATTGAGAATTTGTTACAATTCCAGTCCTCAAAGGGACTGAAATTGCAGCAAAATATTGAATTATAGGACCAAAAGGCAAAATGCTAGAATCTTGCGCTAAAATTGCTATGGCGTTAAACCAGTAGGACTAAAAATGCAATTTAGCCGATTCTAAAATATTATTTAATTCGATATTTTTCTTTCGGTAAAGATCCCGAGTGTGAGAGCAGAATACCATTGTATCAGAGCTTGAGTATCTACGTGCCGAGGGACGAGAGGTTCAGTGGTGTGAAAATGTCGGATTTTGTGGCGTATGGGTTAAAGTCGATATTTCAGTTTCTTGGTCCTGAGTTCATGGCACTGTTTGACGAGACGCCGACTGAGTTTGACTCGTTCGAGGATGTGCTGAAGCTTTATGAAGGTGGGGTCCACGTGACGGATGGGTCTTTGATGGAGAGGATTAGAAATAGTATCCCGTTCGAGATGATAAAGGAGCTGCTCAGGTCGGATGGGGAGAAAACGTTCAAATTTCCAATGCCACAGGTCATTAAAGGTGAAGATAGTTGTGACTGCTCTTTTTTATTATTATTATTATTATTCTTTCGCTGGTTAGTCTTCTCATCTTTTATCATGAAACAGAGGATAAAACTGCTTGGAGAACAGATGAAGAATTTGCTAGAGAAATGCTGGCTGGAATCAATCCTGTTGTTATCCGGCGACTTCAAGTAAAGCTCTTACTTATTTTTTTTTTTTTGTCCCAAGTTNNCCAGCTGAGAGAGAGAGAGAGAGAGAGAGAGATTACATGCTCAAGTTGCATAAGCTTTTGTTATCATAATATGTTCCCTTTTTACGAAAAATATAAACGCTCGGTTGATCTGTTACAAAAATCTACTTGCAGGAGTTCCCCCCAAGAAGCAAGCTAGATCCTGAGCTATATGGAAAGCAATCTAGCACTATCTCTGAAGAGCACATTATGAACAGCCTAGAAGGTCTGACCATACGCGAGGTAAAAAAAAAAAACCGAAACTTAATTTCGTGTCGTTTTTTTCAACTTTATAACAGCTCTTTAGTCTTAAAGTAAGCTGAGGCATATAATATATTGGTAATGTTTCGACTGAGGCTTTGATGCTACAAAATACAGGCGATTCAGAACAATAAACTGTTCATATTAGATCATCACGACAGCTTGATGCCTTACCTGAGGAGAATAAACACAACAGCAACAAAAACATACGCCACACGGACGATTCTCTTCCTGAAAAGAGATGGAACACTGAAGCCACTAGCAATCGAGCTAAGCTTGCCAAATCCTGAAGGGGATCATCTTGGAGCAATAAGCTCTGTACACACCCCAGCAGCAGAAGGACTCGAAGGTTCGATTTGGCAGTTGGCTAAGGCTTATGTTTCGGTGAATGACTCGGGATATCATCAGATCATGTCTCACTGGTA